GCCTCCTCTATGATCTGTAGTTTTCAGCAACATCTTCCCACAGCTGGTAGACACTGGAGGATAAATGTAGAAAAGTTCCCCTTTAATTAAATGTATATAAAACATTAATAAATAAAAATGATTGTGTTAGAGGTTGTGTTACTCACCTGATTTTTAATTTTCAGTGCACATGTGTAGCTGTTCCAGGTGTCGGTTATTGGTCGTCTTGATTACTAATAATCTATATCAGCACTTTGGTACGGTTTCCAGAGTGCAGGTATCAGAAGTATCAACCAGCTGTTCCTCCTGAAGTCTTCACCATCACTGATCCTGCTCTTGTCTCTCGTTCTCAGTACCTGACGAAGCAGGTGGATCTCCTCCGGCAGGTCAACGACCAGCATGCCAAAGTGTACGAGCAGCTCGACGTCTCGGCCCGAGAGCTGGAGCAGAGCAACCACAAGCTGGTTCTGGACAACAGGACGGCCCAGCAGAAGATCCACGGGTAAGACAGCCAGCGTGGTTCAACACATCTCCTGGTTTTTATCACTAACTGTCGGGTTGTTTGGGGTCAATTCATCCCTGGTTATTAACAATAAAGGGCTTTTGTTTTTCCGTGCAGGCTGACGGAAACGGTGGAGCTGCTGCAGACGCAGGTGGAGGAGCTGCAGCACCAGGTGGAGGACCTGAAGCTGAGTCCTTGTCAGCCTCAGAGGCCTCCGAGCAGAGAGAAGTGTCCTCGCAGCACTCAGAGCGTGTCCTGTCTGCACGAGCTGCACAACACGCTCAGGTGAGGACGTAAAGAGTTTATGAAGCATCGGGTCTGAAATGATGATCTGTGATGCAAAAAGACCAAATATCTGCTGGTTTTATGTAGTTAGAGGTCAGGATTTGATGCTTTTATCTGTTGTGCATCCTCAAGAACTAATTTTTGGTTCCATCCAACAACAAAAAAACAGATAATTTGTGTTTTAAACAGATTAAATATTAAACACTCAGTTACTTTGAACAGTCACTGATTAAGTGATGCAGCTGGAATTTTTAAAAAGCCTACAATAGTTGTTTTTTTACACACTGGACTCACATTTGAGATTAAATTCAAAATCTATTAGAGCACATTCTCGGTAAATATTCTAAGTAAAGAAAACAGAAAGAGATCCTGAAAGTGTAAAAAGCACTAAGGTCTGGTAAAGTACAGGTTTATTACAAATGACTGCACTGTTTACGACATTCATTCAGTAAAAATGACAAAAATGTGATGTTTTAGCCGCTTAAGTGTGAAGGTTGTCGGGTAAATATTCACTTTTTCACCATTAATTTAAGGTCACCAGCAATTTAAAGGAATAATTTGACACTTTGCGATACACACACTGTCTGAAAACACCGATAATATCTCTCTCTTAGCTGTTTTCTAAAATAACGTCAGCCAGGAGATTATAAGCTAACCATAGCTTAGCTCAGTTTAGCTTAGCTTAGCATGAAGACTGGAACTGGCTAGCCAGACTCTAAATCCAGCTACAACACATTATATCGCTCTAGTTTAATCTTTACAAAGAAATTGAGAGTTTTAGTGGCGCAAATAAGCAATTTTTTTACAATTAGTCTACATGCTAAGCTAAGCTAAGCTAAGCTAACCAGTTGCTGGCTGTTGTGTGTTAGTTTTATCAGTCTTCTCAGGAAATAATTTTATTTCATGAAATGTTTAGATTTTCCTTTATAGAAGCCACATTTTTCACAATTTTTGATAATATACAGATTAAATGATTCATAAAAAATAAACTCATCTAAATGCTACTTCACGGTCAAACGTGTGATTCTGCATATTAATGACAGAAACTAATTACTTGAAGCCAAAAACTATCTTCACTGCTTCCCATCTGCTAATTAATGGACCTTCGGTTAACGAGCTCATCAACATAACTGATCATATTTAATATATTCTGGTGATTGTGGCGGGAAATTACTGAGCTTACTCCGACCGCAAGGGTCAGAAATTTAATTAAACACTTTGAGAAGTTTTGGTTTGAACTGATTGCTCAGCCTGGTTAAAAAAAAAAAAAAAGTCTTAATTGCTTTGTCACTGATCCAGAAGCTTTTTGTAAGCTTCAAGAAGGGAAGCAGCAAATCCTGGCGGCGTTATCTCTCTGCTGTATCTGTGCTAATCCTGCTCCTGCTGGCAGACGTCCACGTCCAGCTCACCGCAGTCTGCAGGTTTCACGCTGCGCTCGCTTCCTGCTTCGCTGCACCGTGACGGCTTCATTCACGGCCTCGCTTCAGTCTCTGTGGTCTGTAATCCCGTCAGCACGACTCCCTCCGAGCATCCAGGTCACATGCACGGAAATCGCACTGATAAAGACACGACGGGGTCTGAAGTGAACACAGAGGTGCAGGAAGGTTTATGAGGTTGGAAGGAAAAAGGTCGAAGTCTGAGCTTCAGTGTACAAACGTGTCTCAATATCTGCCTGGAGCGCATTGATTCTAATCTAATCACCTCGGTTCTGCTGATAAGTTCTTGATTCCTCGCTCGGTGTGCTTTTCTTGGAATCGTCGGGCCTGTTTTTGGCTCACAGTGAAGTCCAGCTTTACCTTAAGACGAGCAGATACAGTTAAGTAAGGATTACGTAAACAAACAAACATGATAAACAAAAGTCTGCTTAAACCCCGGCGCTGTTTCTACACAGTCTATAACAAAAGGACGTCTCTGTCGATTCAAACATCCTCATCTGAATCAGACTCGTGACCTTTAGCTCCTTAACTTTGTGTTGCCTCATCAGGAAACAGACACGTCACAGATAAGAGAAAAGACAAATTATCAGCCTGCATGTTTACGACCGAATATCTGCCAAACGTCTGACGATAATTGTGTTTAGTGCTAATTAGCCAATATTAGCATGCAAAATACTAAATTAGGTGAAAATTCAGCCTTTGCAGATGACGCACCATCTATATTTCAGCTTAGATGTGCTTACGTAGTTTGTTTACACTTTGTTTTTGTAAACAAGCTATAATATGTTAGCTTTAGCTTTTAGCTCTAGAAGCTTGGATGCAACTTATCAGCCTGCGTGATTTGGTGGGAATAGCTGATAATACGAACTCTTTTCAAGGTCTCTTTACCAGCTTCTGGAGCGACCAATGCTGGAAAAAAAAAATAGAGGCTGCACATACTGGAGATATTTTACAACTTTAATTTTAATTATGTGGAAACACTGCCTGCAGTTCAGCCGAAAAGTCCCAGGATGTTGGTCATGTGACTGCAGCTAAATCAAAAATGGCTTCCCAGTCGCACAGAGAGAAGCAGATTTTTTTACGTTTCTTATGCAATCTGGGTTCTGCAAATGGTTTATTATAGATGTGGTTGGGTACGTTGATGTAAAAATTAAGTTTATCATCTTTTATTATACTGAAGAATTTTTCAGCTTGTAGTCATGTGACCGTCTGTCTGTGCAGGTACGACTACGACGACGAAGAACCGTCGGACGACCTCGAGTCCTCTGCAGCGTCGTGGCACGAGGAGGAGCAGGCGTCGCTGCGACAGTCGCTTCGCTCTCTGCAGACCCAGTTTGCCACTGAGCGCGCTCGCAGGCAGGAGGCGGAGCGAGAGGCGGAGCTGCTCGCAGGAGAAAACGCGGCGCTGGAGCAGCAGCTGGCGGCGATGGAGGGATGCCAGGTGGGCAGCTAACCACGACGTTTGAATTTTGTTTTCGAGGTTCTTGAAAATGCATATTGATGCTGTCAGATTAAAGGGTCATTTAACATTTTTATAATGAAGTAGAAGAAGTGGGTGGAGTCAGTGATGTCAGAGCAGCTATTTTCCTATTGGGCAAAAGGCAAAAAAGGGGTGTGGCTTAAAGTGCAAGATGGGCTTATGTGAATTAGGTTTTAGCCATGTCAGATGGACTAGTGGCTGTTCAGCACTAGACTGAAACGTCTCAACTACTGGAGGAGGGAAATTTTCCAGCTACTCGTGGTCCCCAGAGGATGAGTCCTGATCACTTTGTCAGTGTTCCTTAAAGCCCAACTTTGTCAGCATTTGTGTTTTATCTCATCAGTTATTGAATGATGGCAACCTCTGGTCAAATTTCCCAATAATGTTTTAGATATTTATCGAAATATCAGTAAAACTAACGCTCCCACCAGCTTTAAATGAAGTGCTAATTAGCAAATGTAAGCACACTAATTCACTGTTTTAAAGACTTAAGGTGTAAATTTCATAAAGTTTTGCTAAATTTTTGTGTTTGCAAGAAATATTTCAGTTTTCTTGTAGCCTGGGTTTTATTTTAATACCTCTGGATGTCATTCAGTCATCATGAGAGCTGCCTGTAGAAGATTTAAATGTTCCCCTAAAGAGGAGAAATGATTGAAATCGTCGGTTTCCAAAAGCCTTCAGAAGTTATCGAGTCGGAAATTGCACAGCAGGCAGCAGATTTGATAAAGTCACGCATAAGACTGTGATCTAAAAATAAACGACATCTTCAAACAAGTCTTGCTTTCATTTCCTTTTAAGATAAAGTAGGACAACAGTAGCGGTGGCTCGTCTCGTCAGAAACATGTCATTGTTGTTCTGGGAGTTCAGCTTCGTCTCTCTGACTTGATCTGACATTATCTTTAAATCAATATTTTCTTTTCATAATCCTGTAGCAGAGCACGACCAGTTTTTGCCTGTTTCACATCGATCAGTTTTGTATGTGGCAAGATAGATAGATGCTTGGGGTAATGGTGTAATCACGCAGTTTGTCCAGCAGAGCGGCTCCAACTCCACAAAAACTCTCTGCAGCACATGTAGCAGAGCACAAGTCAAGCGATGTCGGCACTATAATTTGCTAACTAGTCAACTAACAAACACCATGATTTCTTCTGTCCAGTGAAACTCTAAACGTTCTCTCTTCTTCAGGCCCGAGTGTCTGAGCTGGAGCGTGAAGCCGAGGAGCTCCGTCAACTCTGGAAACTGGAGACGTCCACCAGATCCAGCAGGCCGGACGTCTGCCTGCTGCCGCACTCCATGTTCCTGAACCCGGACGAGGAGCACGACGGCGAGGCGCCCAAGAGCCCCGCCGTCCTGAAGCGCTGGGGCAGCGAGCGGCTCATGAAGGCCGTCCAGACGCCCGACTCCCCCGGCAGGATCTACGACCACGAGTGCTCGTGCGTGCGGCGGGCCGAGGTGGTGAAGTATCGCGGGATCTCGCTGCTGAACGAGGTCGACGCCCAGTACAGTGCCTTGCAGGTGAAGTACGACGAGCTGCTGCGACGCTGCCACCTGGGCCTGCAGGACGAGGAGCAGGACGGCCAGAGCCACAAGTCGGTGCAGACGGCGTCGCTAGCCGCCTCTTGTCCCGCTCTCACGGACCTGGAGGACTTTGAGGACGACTTTCACCAGCCGGAGTACAAGGAACTCTTTAGGGAAATCTTCTACCGCATTCAGAAAACCAAAGAAGACCTGAATGAGAACAGGGGGAGGCCCTCAGCTGATGGAGCGCTGCCTGTTTCGCATTAGAAAAAAAACAAGAGAAGAAAAGACCAGCTGAGAGATTAATTATCGTCTTCCAGTTATATAGTGACTCTGTGGAAATACTTTGATTCGCCCAGAAATGGTGACCGCCACCCAGAGGGGAGAGTGATGCAGGAACAAGAGGGCTTCACACCAACCAGCTCAGACGTGGCTCATTTTGCACAGAAACACCAGTGCCTCCTCCCGCCGCCGCCGCCATCGCCGCCTCTACTGTACAATCCTCTACCTCACTCTGCTCGCAGACAGGAAGCACTTCTGAGGAACAATCGGACTTCTTCTCGTGAGCTGGCGGCGTTTTATTTTACGGGTCCTATAGTTTCCGAGAAGAGAAATCGATGTTAATTTGCAAAAAAAAGTTTGAGGTAAAGATGCGGTTTGGTTCTAATTGTAGGAAATATGGAGGCAGCATTCAGCTAAAGTCGAGCTTTTAGTCAATATGCAGCAGATGAACAACTACTGCAAACGAACTGTACTCAGAGTAAATTTCCTTCTTTCACTGGAAATTCTTCAGGGCTGCAACTGATTATTTTTCATGTATTGAATAATCCGCCACAGTTTTTAATAAGTGTTTAAAAAAACAAACAGCCGACAATGAATCGAAACTCAAATGTGCAGTTTATTGTCATAGAAGCTAAAAAGCTGGAACTTTGTGCTTAAAAAAAAAATGTCACAAACGACACAAACACTCACATTTTGGCAAATTTTAACTGAAGCTGTTTACACATGAACATATTGAGAAGCATTAATTTGGAGTTTATGTCCATGTGACAAACCAGTACTGTCCCTCTTTTAGCTCTGTTTTTGGTCTCCTCCACTTTCTGAGCAGCTAAATGCTCACTAATTGTGCCGCTTGTTGCCCAACGTGTTGTTGGTGTTTAAATGCTTTGAGAGCAGCGAGATGGAACCAAAGCAATAAAGCAGTTGAGTGAAAGTCGCCATGAAGTTGATAATTCAGGTGATTTTTTTTTTTTTGGCTCTTGACTACATATTTGAAACTTCCTGTTCAACACCTACTTACTCAAATCTCCAGTTTCCTGTAATTACTCCTAAACAGAAAACAGCATCAGGGAATGATGGACCTGTAAAATAGAATTTAATCACTGTATCTGCTGTTTGTTTATGTAAAGACTTTCTAATTTATTTCTTGGTGATAGTTTGCCTGCGCCTATAAGAGCAACCGGCCCACGGTTGACCAGTATGCAACGTTATGTCGGTGGAGGAGTTTTTATCGAGTCAAGGTGCTCAAATAGGATTTTTCTTTTTTGTAATTGTGACACATCTCTCTCTCTATGAAATGATTATTCTACTTGATTACTGTACTGTAGGTTAGACTGCTGAGTGAACGTCGTAGTAAAGGGACGTTTACCAAAATAATAACCGATAGCTCGAAGCTTTTCGCCGCCTGATGTTTGTGAGTCCTCGTCCAGCTTAAAGACTGTGCACATTGTCTGTAAAATCACGTTGAGATGCACTTTAGAAACTTATCAACGCTCTTCTGACACTTTATATCTCCGCTGTATGTAGTCGATGTTCTGATAATCTGCAGTATGTGTGTGTTTCTACCTGTTTCATGACTGGATCTGGTGGTTGCTGTCGCTGCTCTGAGCCATAAAACATGAAGCAAGCCGACGCAGCAGCTTTCTGTCCTTTTTTATTAGAGAGCTGGTCCGCCGTAAAATGTGATTAATCCTTATTTATTGCGGCGCTACAGTTAATCTTCACAAATATCGTCATAAATCGCTGACGTCCTTTGAGAATTTAACGACAGCTTGGACGCCCTGCTGGAAACGAGTCTAAAAATAAACCTGAGGAATCATTAACAATTAAAATTAGAGATGCAACATCAGTGAGCCTCCGCAGGGGGAAAATAATACCAGCAAAGAATCCTAAATTATATAAACAGTGACAAATTATGGGATGTGTAAATAGAGGGAGTCGCTCATTAATGGGAATAAAGTGAAATAAAGAACATTTAGGGTCAAAATATTATCAGTAAATGTGTTTTTAGGTTGTAATCTTTAACAGGGTTTTATAGAAGAGAGTTTATAATTAGACAAGCTAATGAATAAAAACCAGTGCATGAGAATTAAACCGATTTTCAGCTGTGAAAATCTAAATTCAGGGTTTAAGTTCAGTGAAAGTTTCTTTAGTTATCACACATATTTACAACATTTATACTCCAGACTGGGTTTTTCCTGCGAACTGATCTTTTTTTTTCGCACATTTGATTTGTTTATTTTGTTTTAAAATGCAAAATTTGACATTTTCATTCTGGCACCATCTTAAAAGTTTCTGCCAGAATAAACCGCCCACGTCCCCGACACCCACAAAGGTTCATCACAAGGTAAGAACACAAGTAATAGTATTTGTAATGCTTTTTGAACAGAAATTCAAGAAGAAAAAAAAACACTCGATCCCTCACAGTGAGGGTTTCCATTTTCAAATTTCTGTATCTTAAGTTTCCCCACACGTTGTCTACTTTGCATGAATACATTCATCGAACAAACGAGACAAAAAGAAACCGTCTTAAATCACAACCTGTAGCAGAGGCATGAAGACTAAACAGCATTTACGAAGGAGGAATCAAACATCCACCGAAGCCTAAAGGCTCAGATTGAAAAGTGTATTTTTGCGTCAAAAGGAACCAGTTAAGGTGGTTTGGACATCTGATTCAGATGCCTCCAGGGAGGCTTCCTCTGGAGGTTTTCCGAACACGTCCACCTGGGAGAAGACCCCTGGGCAGACCCAGAACTCGCCTCGGGAAGAGCTGGAAAGCGTCGCCGGGGGGAGGGAAGTCTGGAATGACCTGCTCTGTCTACTGCCCCCACGACCCAACCCTGGATAAGCGGAAGATAATGGATGGATGGATGGATTTTTGCAGGGTGGACAGTGTGCAGAAACTTGATCCGCTCATCCCTCTCCTATGAACCGGTCTCATGAACCACATGCAAAGAGTTCCTCTGATAAACGGCTGTATCTGATACAAACCCCCAAAATATGATCAAATCAGGGCCATCCATCCATCATCTCTACACCTTAATCCTCACTAGGGTCATGGGGGGCTGGAGTCTATCCCAGCTGACTCAGGGTGAAGACAGGTTCACCTGGACAGGTAACCAGTCTATCACAGGGCTACACTTAGAGACAGACAACCAAGCACACTCACATTCACACCTACAGACAATTTAGAATCACCAATTAACCTCAGCATGTTTCTGGACTGTGCGAGGAAGCCGGAGAACCCGGAGAGAACCCACGCTGCACGGGGAGAACATGGAGACTCCACGCAGAAAGATCCCGGGTGTCCTCACCGGGAAGCGACCGGCGACCTTCTAGCTGTGAGGCGACGGTGCTAACCACTGAGCCACCGTGCAGCCCAATAATCCATAAATATCCACTCAAAATTTTTTAATGAGCTGCTGTTTAACTCGCGCTGATAAATGAAGAGAACACCTGGGACAAGGTGACATCACAGTGTTTATTGAGCAAAATAACAAACCAATGAAAAAAAAAAATACAACTATTATTCTTATCCGATGATGAAGGAAATTTAGCTGAACGCCGTTTTCACGACTGAAGCTCCGAGAGGATTCCTGTGAAAAATCGAACGTTCCTGTTTTCTCGTGTGAACGGGTGGGAGTTTGTCCTGAAAGCCTTGTGAGGCGGAGGCACTTTAGATGGAGGCTCAAGATAGCAGCACATGGCGATACACCAGCGTATCCATAGCAACAGCATCCCCCCACCCCTACCCCCCCTCACCAGAGATGACGGCGTAGCGTTGGTGTCGATTAAATCCCGGCTGATTTATGAGCAAAATATGACAGGATGTTATTCCAAAATGCATCTTTATTGGTTCTCATCAAACTCAGTCACTCGTCTCTCGTAAAAGGAAAACTTAGAAACTCTACATTCAACCAAGAAAAATAAACCTCAGCCGCTTAAATCCGCCTTTTTTTTTTCTTTTCCCCTCAAGAGTTTATAAATCAGCACATATTTGACTGAATAACACAGAACACGAGGAGGAAAGCAGCAGATTCCAGGTCCAGGGTTGCCAAAAACATCCAGAGGTTTCAGTTCAACAACATCTTTGCATCTTTCTTCCCTTTTGTTTATGAATTTGGCGTTTTTCTCCTTCACGCGTTTTATCGAACATCCTTAAAGCTCACACGTTCACTTGTGTGTCGAGGGCGAAATAAATAGAACACTCAGCTGATATTCCCTAAACAGAAGAAAATGTGTAAAATTAATGGATGCAAACAAACAAATCAGTTTTTTGTTTTTTTACTCACAAGGCCTTAAAGAGTGTCGTAGCTGATATGACAAAGTAAAATGTGTTTTCTCTGGCAAAGTTCACGACCAGGAGTGAAAAGAAAGCACTCTGCTGCCTTCAACAGTAAACACAGATCTGATCCGAGAAAGGTCTCATTCAAAAATAATCAAACATGACGTCATCAATGCAAAAACAATCCTACTGATAAACCGTGTGTATATATAGATCTTGCTATCTCTTCATTTTTTTATTTTTATATCGATGTTTCCCCTCAGACTCGGAGAGTTTGTGGACTTCCTGTCCTCCGGCGGCGTCCGAGTGCTCACGTCAAGGTTTAGAAAAGCTTCTTGTTCCGAGCACGTCGGGCGCCCGACTTTACTTGTCCTCCAATCGCTCGTCCTCGCAGCTGAGCGAGCTGCAGCGATTGGCTCTCATCTCTCGACTGCCCGCCCACCGGACACCTGGGAGAGGATCTGATTGGCCGACGGTGACCGCAGGGGGCAGGGACTCGGGGGTCAGGACTGTATCGTCCCTTTGAGGTACCACATCCCCGCGTGGCTGCTGCAGCACTCCTGAAACAGAAGGACGGCCGGTTAGGTCAGCGGAGAACACGTGAAGCTGGTTAAACGCAGGACGTGCAGCATCGATCTCACCGTGAGCAGCCGGTCCACGTCGGCTTTGGACACGTCTCCGAAGTCCTGCGCCAGTCGGGCTTGAATTATGTTCCTCCTGACCCGGTAGTTCTTCGTGAACACCTCGTAAAGAAGCCGGCGTTGCTGCGGGAAGGAAAACAAACACAGAAGAATATTTACTAAATATTAATGTCAGAGCTTCTGGAAAAAGATGCTTCCATCCGAAAACTGCCTCAGGCAAGTGCAAATGTTGTCTTTTTTTGCAAATTTGAGGAAATTTTTAATGAACTTTTTCTAACAAACATATATACATAATCAATCGTAGCAACTGGACTTGTTTGAGTTCCTTGAAGACATTCCACCTTCATCCAAGAGGCTTCATCAGTTCTGACTGACTAGTTGGGAGTTCCACATACTTATATCCTTAAGGAGCCATTAACACCTGAGTTTCGGTTTCAATTGGGGGTTTGTTGCTCCTCCCCCTCGTTATGTGAGTCGTTAGTGCTCCCCTGACACAACGGGGTTCGTTAGGGTCCATTTTGGCTAGGTGTGGATGTGGTTTCATCTTCCTGGGGAGAGATCTTAGGACTGATGGTTTTAGAGAGGAGTGAAAGAAGCCATCTATGTCCAACTGGAAAGAGCATCCCTCAACAGAGGTGGAGGTCTGAGGCATCACCTCTCACCTGTTTACAGTTCAGTCATAAGATCTCAATTGAAACTGAAACTCAGGTGTTAATGGCTCCTTAAGGATATAAGTATCTGGAACTCCCAACTAGACAGTCAGAACTGATGAAGCCTCTTGGATGAAACGTCTTCAAGGAACTCAAGCAAGTCCAGTTGCTACCATTAAACTACCAGAATAACCGTGACCTGGATGATGGAGAATCTTCACAGACATATACATAGACATCATACAGATGTCAGCGCGGTAGTGATCCAACTCTCGGCAAGAATCCAGGAGCTGTTCGGACAACTTTTGCTGTTGATTATTAAACCACACACGTGTTTAAAGTCCTCTTTGTGTTTTGGAATTTAACAACGAAAGTCTCGAGGAGATATCTGCAGCTGAGATGGACTCAAAACCAACATCAACTCATCGCTGCCTTCGGTGTGAAGAAGAAAAAAACCCCCATGCCCTACTTCTTTGTGCTGCGCTGCACTGATGCAACCAACCAGTCATTTCCCACCCTGGTTTCTGACATTCGTGTGAAATTCACTGATTGCTGACTTCGGCACGTCATCGGGGCGTTTACCTTGTCGAAGTCGTCTCCGGTCTCCCATACACCGAACACCTTCTGCTCATCGGGGGCTGCTGTGGTCTGAGCAGGAAACTGAAGCGAGACAGAAACAAACATGTTTTAAAAACAGTAGGGCTGCAGCTGGTGACTATCTTCACTGTCTGTTATTTTACTGATCAGCTGGTTGGTCTATACATTTCTGAAAATGGTGGAAAATATTAATTATTGTTTCCCAGAGTTTAAAATGACTACCACAACCAATGGTTTTGTCCATAGAGGAGAAGAAAAAGTAGAAAAACATCACATTTAAGAAGCTGCAATCAGAGAATGAAGACTTATTCCTTCAATAAATGACTCAAACTGATGATCAACTAACAGGTTTTGCCACTTTTCCTCCTTAAACCTTCTTCTAGTCTGAACAGGAAAGCGAGCTGAGTCATTATGTTCAGCTTTTAGGATGCACGTCATGACAACTTTGATGGAAATGCCATTTTGTGCAACACATTACAGCCACGTCAACGAGCCTTTCCTTCTCTCAGACACTTGATCTGATGCTAATTTGAGGTCAAAACAGGAACATACGAAGCACTGCAGTGTCCAGACGGTCCAATCATGAGCCCCCCCAAGCCTGGATTATCTCTCCAGACACAGCCCACCGACTCAGCGCCGATCTGTGAACTGTCAGACACCCAAACAACAATATTTAGGATAGCACTGAGGGCGAGCAGCCTGATTCCAGATCTGTCTACGTTAGCGAACAACCTCCAGGCTTAAGCCCCGGGTGAGCAGTAATGAGCTTTGCTTCGAGGCTAATAATCTGTTGCATAACAAAGACGGTGTCGAGCCATTCCCTCCCCCTCAATCCTCTAAAGATGCAGAGAGGATAAGAGCGAAGCCGGGACAGCGCCGGCCCTGGCAGGAGGAGACCGGGCCGCCTGATGCAACCAGAGGATGTGGCGGCGAGCGGCCACGCCTCTGCAAACACCACACCGAGAAAACAGACGAGGTGCACTGATGACGGGCTGTAGGAGTCTACGTGAAGGCTACGAACAGCGACAGCAGCCCAAACACAAGCACACAGAGGTGTCAGGTGGCTCCTGGAGTGGAACCCGAGAACCGGGTTTGCGTTGCCTCAGTGCACCTTCACAAGCAACAGGCAAAACGACCGTTAATGTCGTTATTCTGCACGAGAAAAACGATACTCGTGTTCGAGCTGCCAGCGAGAAATCCCCCTTTTATTCAGCAAAAAAACCAGACAAGCAGCAGCTCTTAGTCCGAGACAAAAGGAACAGTAGCTTCAACACCCAAAGTGCAGGTGAGTCAGAGGACCGGAGAGTCCTGCAAGTTCAGGTCTGAGTCCGTCTGAACAAATCACACTAAGTGAAGTTAAACCACCTTCTGACGCAGGGAGACATGTTTGAACACCTGAAGCTGGGCGAGACAAAAGCAGAGCGACTAAAACCATGTTCCCACAAAGCTGTCGAGCAAATGTGAAGAAGACTTTTGAAATAAAAAAGCAAACAAACTAGGATGCAAAGTGTCATCAGAAACTGTTTGGTTACTCCCACACTATAGAGGACGCCAGAAAAAGCTTCAGTTTGTCCCAACACATAGCATGTCAAACGCAGTGTGTCTAAAATACCAGATTATCCGACTACATCTGCTCAGAGTTTGCTGCATGTAAGCCTGCACGCCTTTCTGACCCACAACCCTCTGCACAGTTACATCATATAGATTGCAGCGTCTCGCAGGAAAGAAGTTTGAGTCACCGACAGCTAATTTTGCACTAGAGACGGCGATGGTCAAAGTTTAAGGTGCAACATTATGAAATCGGAGTGTGTCCCAGTTCTACACATACAGCATGAAACCGTAGACACTCCGTCAGGGTTTCTAAGGTGTGTATTTAAAGTGAGAAGAAAAAGTGTGAAAAACTCGAAGGAACCTTTGGTCCTTTAGGTTATCCAGGGAAAAAAAAAGTGCTTTGGTTGTTTTTCATGCTGCTCAAAAACAAAGACGACAGAGGAAATAAAAAAGCAGCTCATCAGTCACGTGGTTTAAACGTTCGCTGGTCAGAAAATTGTTTCCATCTTCTGTTATGTCCGTTAACCTTTCGTCAAAAAAGTCAAGGATCACCTCGAGTGAGTGGAAAAACATTTAAGTCGTTTTAAATTTTGCTGTGACTTTTTTTCTGATGCGGTAATTAAAAACTTACAAATGCATTCTGGAAACACGGCTTGAAATGTGCAGTCTGTGATTTCACTATTTAAACCAGCAACAGGAACTGCGACAACAGGTAACCGTCACTACCTGTAGAGAGATTGTTCTATACCATCTCTAACGAGCAATTAATCAATTAATCGAAACAGCTTGAGTGATTTACGAAGAAAAAAGAAGCCAAAATCTTGTGATTCCAGCTTGTTTGGTTTGAATATTTTCTGGTTTGTTTCCTCCTCTGTGACTGAACATCTTTGGCTTGTGGACAAAATAAGACTTTTGAGGAACACTGAGCTCATTTTTCACCATAAACCAAACAACTAATTGATTAGTCAAGTAAATTCAGATTAATTGCCAGCGGACATAACCCTCAGTCGCAGCTCTCAGCCTACGATCAGAGCATTGATTCCCTGCATAATTGATACATAGACAGTATTGCAACGGTTGATTAATAATCAGTTTGTTGTTCATTCATTTTCTGTTGCTCTTCACTGCATTCTACGTCTGCGTGTGCTGAACAGTGCATGTTTTACTGTGGCTTCGGCGGTTTGCTTCTTCCTGTTGCTGTGAAACACCTGATGCAAACCACTGGTGTTGCTTTAGTCCTCATGTTCACATCCTGTTGTAGAAAGTTTGTTCTACTTCATCTGTCGCTTCACAGATGTCTCGCTAAACGCCTGCAGCTGAAAATAGATCTCTAGCTGTTTCGGCTCTTAACGCATTCTTCACTGAATTGGAGGAAAGTGTGAAATCTCCCGACTCGAACACAATCTCAACCATTCATGCCTTCAAGCGTTCTGTTAAGCGTGAGAAAGAGAAACTGTAAATTCCTGCCTCTGAGCAACGTAAACTGCAGTGCACTGCTCTGGTGCCAGAAAAGCCTTCAAGCTCAGTTTCCTGGTTCATATTTCACATTTATAGCAACTGACCCACAACAATGCAGCAGCGTGCAGTGTCATCTCACACCGCCGGTGGTTTGTGACAGGTTTTGCATTTCACTCAAACAGCACGAACAATCCACACCGAGTTAGAGACGGAATCAAAACAGCAGCATCCTTCAGGAAAAGGAGTTTTACATCCAGCACATCCTGATCATTTCCCTCCCTCAATACTCACAGGCACCATTATCTGTTTGCACTGGTTGAGCAGTATGGCGTCCTGCAGCATGTGGTCCGAGATGGAGTGGAAGACGCTGCGTCCCGCCGGCATGGAAGCCAGGTGGAGGTTAAACAGCCTCTTTAGCTCGTTCAGCGTCAGCACAAAATGCTTCCTGAAAGTCTTTATCACAAAGTCCTGCAGCTCCTGGGACGGCGTGTTGGCGGGACTCCCTCCGTTACCCATAGCATGATCAAACGCCGGAGAGATGGCGCTGGGGTAGCCGTTGACTGAACCGTTGGGGATGCAGGAGGAGGAGGTGTCCATCGGCTCGTCCTCCCTGTCGCTGACGGGCTCCTGCTTGATGTGGACGCTGCTTCCTGCGCGCCGGGCGTCCAGGTCCTTCTGCAGCGACGGCTGGTTTTCGTGCGCTCGGTCCTGAGCCATCTTCAGGCGCTGCTCCCCGCTGACATGGACGGGGTCTGGAAAACAACACAGACGTCAGCTCGTGGGATTTAATCTGAATACAAGTGGCTGCAAGAAGTGAAACTCACCAGGCTGAGGGGAATTCTTTGGCACAAAGTCTTCTTTAGAGAAATTAAACACCTTTTCCAACCTTCAAGGAAAAGACGAGACACAATAAGCTCTCCTCAAAAACAGAAACACTTAATTGCGCTTCAACAAACCTGGTGAGAGAATTCATTCTTCAGTTTGAACCTACTTGCTCTGGATGCCGAGCCACAGCATGTGCTGCCTGTGGGCAACATCTGGGTGCTTCTTAATGAAGTCGGAATCGGTAGGCAACAGGAACTCCCAGCCCCGGTTGATCCGAGGAGCTGCCACATGCTCCAAGAACTCCTTCACATCCTCCGGAGGAAGCTGGCGGAGGCGGGAGGAAGGAGCCGTTAGTCGTGTTTACCTGAATGAACACTGCAGCCGCGGGGTGACGGCAGCAACACAGTGCTCAAATGAAGCAGCCATTAAAGACTGTGGGAGCACCGAGCATCTCACAACAGCTGAAATTATCAAGGGGAGATGATCGCTAGCAACCTCCTCGCACGTACTGGATGCTGCATATGTAACACCCCAAGGGACTAATTTGAAATGCAATGAGCCTCTGAGGCAGCACAGATCCCGACTGTGAGCGTTAAATAATTAGTTGTACACAGCTAATTCTCCACATATTCAAACATTTCTAAATTCTGAATTAGTCAAAACAACTCTAAGAAGCTGGTGGGACTCATATATGCATCGATCCTTACTTTGATGATGGAAGCGATCTCCTTCCTCATCACGGAGCGCTCCAGCGTGAACCTCCACATCTATAAAAAGAACAGCTGATTCACTACGACTGCACATCGAGCACATAGAAAACACTCGTTTACTGGTGTGATTAAAGGGAGAGAGAGCAGAGACAGCAGCTCACCACGAAGTCTCTGCCCCGACAGAGCACTTCAGCAGGGACGCCGCTGTGAGGACTGCAGGTGTTTTTAGGATACAGAACATCGCTGTGGGAAAAAAAAAACACATACATCAGCATCAGTGCAATGAAACCAATCTGCAGTGGAGCAACGCATGCAGTCCGTTTAATAAAAGACGTCTCGACTTTAATCAGACGCTGCGAGCTGGTGCAGTTTTACTGAGATGGAAGGATGCAGCTCCGCCCATCCAGAGGAACATTATGTTCTGTCAAAACCTGGAAAAGATCTGCAACTCAGCCAAAAAGGGCCAAAATGAGCAGCGAACAATCATGATCAAAACTGCAACATGGTCGAGTGCAGCATCCAGATCGCTTGAGCCGCAAAACATGAACCACATCACGTCGTACTGCAGAGATGCATCGGCTTAAAAACACCATCCAGATGTAAGAAATCAGAACACAACTAAAATCACACCATCAGCTTTCTAGTTGTATCAGCGGAAATCCATCCATCCTCTATACACCTTAGTCCTCACCAGGGTCATGGTGGGCTGGAGTCTATCCCAGCTGACTCAGGGTGAAGGCAGGTTCACCTGGACAGGTAACCAGTCTATCACAGGGCTACACTTAGAGACAGACAACCAAGCACACTCACATTCACACCTACGGACAATTTAGAATCACCAATTAACCTCAACATGTTTCTGGACTGTGTGGGAGGAAGCTGGAGAACCTGGAGAGAACCCACGCTGCACGGGGAGAACATAGAGAAAGATCCCGGGTGTCCTCACCGGGACACGAACCAGCGACCTTGTAGCTGCGAGGCGACGGTGCTAACCACCGCTCCACCTTGCAGCCCGTATCAGTGGAAATGAAATGCAAAATTCCTGCTTAAATTGTGACTCATGTTGCAACACCTGTCAAAATACTGTAATTGCACTTTGTTTTTTTTTCCCCATCGTTCAGCCCTCGTAGGGTTCCACTCCTTTCAGAACTTCCTTTCAATCTGAGGACTTTTTCTTTCACTCTCTCATTTTTTACTCTTTGTTGATTTCTGCCTGTAATACATTCTGTGTCTACATTCTGTGTTTATCACTCTCTCAAACGCCTCATCTTTTATTTATTTGCTTCTCTTTCTCTCATTTCTAAATATAAAACCCGTCTTGCAGCACGCTCCTGTAACGCCCCGGGGACCGTGTACCTGGAGGTATCTGATTTGCAGATGATTAAGACGAGATAAAGGGCCCTGCAAAAAAAAACTGCCGCTCATCCTACAAATTTCCTCTGAACGTTTTGTTTACCTCCTTAAAATTCTGCACAAAATGAGGGAGAGGGAGAAAAAAAAAAAGATGTCTGCTCTCACCTCTTGACAACCCAGTTCCCCTGAACCAGCAGCGCCACCTGCTGGATGCAGCGCAGCGCCGCAGTCGAGTCGGTGCCGGAAGCGAGGAGCCCCATCAGGTTAGCGAACGGCATCACCTTGACTGGAGAGAAGAAGAAGAAGAGATTGTGAAGGAAACATGAACCTGGAGGGCATCCAGACTGTTTAAGGGAGGATGTAAGTTTCCTGAACTTCATGCCCATTAGGAATGTTGGAAAAAGCTTGAACAAAGACACGGAGAGGCTAATATCTGAGTGCAAAATGAACCAAACAGTTAACTGAAATGTGCACAATTGCTTGGATGATATTCATTAATCCTGCCTTGGTGCCCAAATCTGGCAAACTTTTGGGGAAATGCAGATTCCATTCAACGCTACTCTGATGTTTAAATAAAAAGGACACGTATGACATTTTCATAAAAACACAAACAACCGTTCATTTTCTCCTGATCCTGTTGGCTCACCGTTCTTCATCAGGGTCTTGACTTGCTCCCCCAGAGGCAGCGTGCGGAGCTGAGCCATCGAAAGCACATTACTGGGACCGACAGGCTTCACACTAACAAACAGACAGAAAGTCAAGTTAGAGACGCATCTCGGGGAGGATGTTGTTCTGTTTAAATCTGCAAAAAGATGTCAGAGGAGTGAGGGATGATTACACTTTCTCTTCTGCGAGAGGAGGCATCAGCATCGCCAGGTACTCCCTGAAAACATGAGAGACACAAGCTGAGGTGAGCGAGTAAGGAGACGAGAGTCAGGAGTTAAATAAGAACTGAAAGGGCATTAATGTGAGCTCTTGTGGATTAGACAGTGGCAAAAGGTCGCCACAACATTCACTCTTTGTAATCTTATCCAGCAGTTTAATCATTTTAGGTAAATGGCACTGAACAAGAAGAAGAACACCAACTAAGAACTAATCTAGACTCCCAGTCCTGTAACACCCTGAGAGCAGTAAAGCGTATCACATTTCCATTTCTTCACACTCACTTTGGAGTTTTGACCAGCTCAGAGTTCTCCGAGGCGTCCGCTGACTGACAGAACAGGTACTGTCTCTCATGCTCCGAGCGCCCGTCCTGGATTTAAATAAACAAATCAGACACAAAACTCTCCGTGACTGCAGCATCTCACAGTGTCACCAGAGCTTCAGTCAGACAGGAGGCCTCTCTTTACCTTGACGCCGTGGTAGTGCAGGTGAACCCACGGCTCCTCCGCCTGCTTCTTCTGCAGGAACTCGTACGACTGGATCCTCCTCTGCCGGGCCTGCTCCGACTCGGGACGAGCAAACCTCACCTGGAGGGGCGCACGAGGAGAAGGAATTTTAGGAATGAAGCCAGAGTGCATATGGGCGTCAGAATCAAGACAACTGTTTTGTTACCAGGTAGATTTTCACATATGAAGAATCTGATTTGGTGTTTTAGTTTCTAACAGTAAACTCTAATGTTAAGATTCTGTGTGTCTATATGCAGGACTTTACCGTGATGGCCTTGGCTTCCTCCTCGGCTTCATCCTGGGAGGAGTCTCCACCTGCAGACAGAAAACTGATCATTTAACGGTCATGACACCTGAACCTACCACGATGTTTTAAGCTATAAGTTTAAGTTGCTTCCTCAAGCGAGGGAGTTTAAGTATCTCAGGATCTTGTTCACGGGTGACGGGAAAATGGAGCGCGAGGTGGAGAGGCGGCTCGGTGCGGCGTCAGCTGTAATGCGGGCGGTGTGCCGCACCGTTGTGGTGAAGACGCACGGTGAAGCTCTTGATTTACCAGTCCATCTACGTCCCAACCCTCACATGTGGTCAAGAGCTTTGGGCCCTGCCCGAAAGAACAAGATCGCGGATACAAGCGGCTGAAATGAGCTTCCTTCACAAGGTGGCTGGGCTTAGCCTTACAGATAGGGTGAGGAGCTCGGACATCCGGAGGGAGCTCGGAGTAGAGCCATTGCTCCTACACGTCGAAAGGAGCCAGCTGAGGTGGTTTGGACATCTGATTTGGATGCCTCTGGAGGTCTTCCAAATATGTCTACCTGGGAGGAGACCCCAGGGCAGACTCAGAACCAACTGGAGGGATTATATCTCTCCGCTGATTTTTGAGGATTTTTTTAAAATGAGACATTTAAAATAAAATAATTTTGATGAATTTCCTGCTTAGATTTGGTTAACTACCTCAACAGAACAGCATGTGTCTAATGTGATTAGTTTATGGAGAGTTGGGAAGTTTAAAAAAAAATCTAGTGAATCTGTCTGTTTTTAGTTTCTTGCTCTGATAAACAGTGAAGTTTTTAAATGACAGCGCTGCTTTGAAGGCCAACAGATTCATCTGAACAACAATTACAATCTCACACAACCAGTTGAAAACACAAGAAAACAGCAAACTCTCACATCTAAGAAGCTGGAAACACAGACACTTGCTTCAAAAATGGCTTAATTGGCAATCCAAATTAATTATCTACTGCTCGACTAATCAACCAATCACTGCAGTTTTAAAAAGGCCTCTTTTAGATCTTGGTACTAGCTACCAGGTGATGTTTTATCCTGAATTCTTTACTGCATTTTGCTTTAGTTATGTCGGGTTCAGACAGACAAATGATTATTCTGTCACAGATAAATCTGGAAAAGCAGACACACCTTCATTGGCTGCCTCCCTCTCTCTGGTTTTGTTGTCAGCCTTGTCCAGGTAGGAGAAGCTGGGCCTCATCTGAAGGATTCCCGTCAGAGGTGTGACGTGAAGCTCGCCTGTTGACATCAAAAATACAACAATCACAGAAGATAAACCCTGCTTTGTGTTTAAGCGTGGACTCGTGGGTCTAGAAGCTGCTTATATGAGGTTATCAACGTAAACATGTAGTTCAACGATAAAAACGGGACTCTGAACCCATCAGTGCCTTTGAGTATTTACAGGAGCAGGTCAAAGAAAACAAAACAAACGGTGGACTGCTGAGGCTGTTGAACCTAATAATCAGGTCGGACCTTTGCGAAACACAGCAGCTGCGTATCTGGAGGTGTTGGTGGTGGCCTGGATGGAGGAGAAGGTCTGTTTGTCCATCATTTTACTGGAGAGGAAACGGAAAGAGAACAACACTCAGACCAGCGATTTAATTAAGATCACAGTCAAAGAGAAGTCTATTCAGGCGTAACAACAGACGTACGCTGAGTAGGTGTTGGTTTCGTCGTACGTCGAGCCGTCCACGTTCAGAGCTATTTGCTCTCCTTTGCTGCGACAGTAGTTGGGACTCATTGTGTCGATGGCCATTTCCAGCTCCACCTGCACAACAAACAGAGCGTGAACAAACACTTTCAGGTGAAGGAAGAACAGTTTTTATTTCAGCAACAGAAACTATGACTAGAAATATTCAACAGGATGGTGACAAAATAGTTTCAATTCTTCACCAACAAACTAAACGTTCAACAGGACGGATTGATGGGAAAATTAACGTTTTAATATTTAGCGACCTGCAGCGTCTGTGGACTCAAACGCTGCAGCTCCTGATCAGTAAAAGTTTCACTACGACGCTCAGAATGTCTCCTAAAGCAGCAGATCTGTTGTCCTGCAAATAAGAAGCTTTTTACTGTCTGTCTGTAACGTTGTCTGACTTCAGTGGTTCTTAGAAGAAGCAGGTTTGTGAATTACACTTATTGCAGAGAGAAGAAGCAGCAACAAACAACAAACACAGCTGACATGTCTAAGAAGATTTTCAGTCAGATGTCATTTGTGTTGCTGTCAGAAGTAGGTCAAGGAGGAACGACGACGCCTCATCTGAAGCTGTTTCTAGATGTTCATTAAAGAAGCATCACTGTCTCCATGTTGTCCATGTTAGCCCCGACTATAAACAGTAAAGTAGTAAAGAAGTAAGCAAATCAACTTCTGAATAAGTTGCTGCTCTTCAGAGGAAAGAACATGCAGCTGAAGGAATGTTCATGATAGATGACCAGGATGGACAGAGAGAGAGATTTGGAAACTGGTTTTAAAGCAGACAGTTCATCTTTTAGATCACTACAGAGCAGACAGACGTGGACACTGAGCTTCTTTAACTAAATTCATGACTCCTGTGAACATGCTAACTGAGCACAAATGATGGCAACATCTGGCCCAAAACGCTTAGCAGATATGAAAATAAAGACCAAATATAGGATTAAAATGTCTTCAGTTTAAACTAAAACATCTTTTCAATCAAAAGCCCAAAACTAAATGCACATTCAAAGATAAAATTAAAACCAATGAAAGACTCTTTACCCGCTGCTGCTTGGGTTTGATCTTCGCCGCTAAGTGGTTGACGTCATCGTAGGTCATAGTGGCTGGTCGGACGGGGTACTGTGTCGACATGAACAATAAAGATGGTTAGTGAGCGATTCATGATGCTGTGAACATTCATCATTAGCAACAGGAACAACAAAGGAGAAGCTCACCTGGAAAAGATAGAGTTTATCTGCGAGGCTTTTGGCAAGATACACATCAATCTGAAAGAAACAGAAAGACAGATCAGTCAGTCTCTGATTATAGAAAACGGTGCCACGAATTAAAGACCTTCTCATTCAAGTGGTGTTTTCTACAGAGTCCATCCATCATCTCTACACCTTAATCCTCACCAGGGTCATGGGGGGCTGGAGTCTATCCCAGCTGACTCAGGGTGAAGGCAGGTTCACCTGGACAGGTAACCAGTCTATCACAGGGCTACACTTAGAGACAGACAACCAAGCACACTCACATTCACACCTACGGACAATTTAGAATCACCAATTAACCTCAGCATGTTTCTGGACTGTGGGAGGAAGCCGGAGAACCTGGAGAGAACCCACGCTGCACGGGGAGAACATGGAGACTCCACGCAGAAAGATCCCGGGTGTCCTCACCGGGACGCTGAGAGGCAGCGGTGCTAACCACCGCTCCACCTTGCAGCCCAATCGCAGAGATATAAACTTTAACTATCAGGGCATTTTGGGAGTTGAGTTTGTTGTGTCTCATCTCTGCTTTATTTATGTTTCTCTCACAGAAGACTAATCCCACTGAGATTACCTGATTAAATTATAGCGCCACAGCAACGCCGGGCTCGTGCTTTCTAGTAATTCTAACGAACCCTTTCCTTAGAATTATAGACCCTAAAGGGGGAAACAACAGAGCTCCAGCATATAACTGGGAATTGGCAGATATCCTGAGCTGAAGAATCAAACAGTGTGAAAAGTCCTGAATATTTTGGAACAACACTTTTTGATACGGCTGGAGTAATAATATTATAACTAAGTCTGGGATAGTAGTTAGAGAAAAAGCTGTCAACAGTTCCCCAACAAGGCGTCTCATCATGTTCCCATCCTGTCCTGACGAGACAGAGAAACCTTAAAATCTGCTCACACGTGTCATTTTATTTCCCAACACAGCTGGACATTGGGGTTTACAGCAAACTTTATGCAAACAGGTGTAATTGATGGGAGGACTATTTTGATTCATGGATTAACACCTATCATGTGAATATTTCTGGTTTGAAACAAACTCTGTTCATAAGGGTGACAGCATGTGTCGCACATGTGTTTTTGGACAATACTGGACGTTTACAGCTCAGAGGAATAAGACACAACACATGTGATTAATGCTGGATGTCCTTCAGCTGCAGCCTGCAGACGTACCTCTTCTATAATGGGGTCATCGTCGTCCCCGCTGGCCATATTGATGTGATCAAAGCGAGGGGGGCGAGAGGAGAGGACACAGGAGAGGAGCGGCAGCAGATCTCAGGGATCCAACCTGGAAACAGAAACGTAAACTTCAAGGAATGTACTGTCCAGCTCCACACTCCTGTTCCTGTTCCACCCAGACCGGTAACAAAGAAAACAGATGACAGGCAGCTGGTGCAGGAACAAAGTGATCCAGCATATCATGGTTACATCAGATTTCATTACAGTTTTGCGTGTGTTGGGTTGCAAAGCCTTGGTGGAGGGTTTCTTTTGAGTTAACCAACAGTTCAGTCATGAAACTCCTGAAGTTAGCCACACCATGATCATGCAGTCTGTCAAGTGATGCTTTCAGTGACTCAGTCAGGTAAAACTCACATGATGTAAGACTGTGTAATCCACGTTAAATGGCAGCTCTACGTGCAAACACGTTGTAAGAAACGTACCGTAAAGCCAAAACATCAAACAGCGATTTCGTACGGTTGAAACACTCAGCACATTCCACCACTTTTACAGAAATGTCATAGTTTCTGGCTGCGTTAGCTTCATTAGCAAGCTAGCAACAAACCCTTCAGCCACTTGTCACAGGCCTACACTACACTCTGGGTTAAATATTTATTTCTACGCCAAAACATACACCTGTAGAAGAAAGCAGGACACAAAAACAACCAGCTCGATGTCTCTCCTTCCTGCAATCAAACGTATGAGCGACGATATTAGCATACAGGCTGTTAGCCGGTGGCAGCTAGCCTAGCACAAGCTAGCTTAGCTTGGCGTGCTAACACACACACATGCTAAGTCAAAATAACACAGTCAGTCACCGGAGCTGATTTAACACGCCTTTTTCTAAATAGCAGCCGCACCGGGGCAGATTCGGCTCTCACCTGCGCACTTCACCGGACAGTTTTGGCTATCTCATCCGTGTGAGGACAGTCCAGAAGTAGTGTGGTGCGCAGAGGGGCAGGAGTGGAATCCACCAACTCAGGCTGCTGGAGTCTGCTGCTGCTGCTGCTGTGGTACCATGTTGACTGAGCTCCACACAGACACGTGGGGAGGAGCCGTGCCCACAATGCACAGCGAGACCACCGCACACTTGTCTGTCCTGATGAATAAAATCAGCTCCCTGACAGTAATCACAGCGGAGGTTTGAGTTACTGTACTTTCGTTTGTTATGGAATGAGAACGTGTTGTACTGCGGGGTTTGAAAAGTTATTGGCAGCGGTGGGATTCGAACCCACGCCCCCGAAGAGACTGGAGCCTTAATCCAGCGCCTTAGACCGCTCGGCCACGCTACCATGTTGAACCACCATGGAACACATGAGATCATATTCCATATAGGCCACACAACACATAAAGGTCAAGTTGTTTACATGTTTACCTGAGCGCATAATTCCTCACACTGTTAGCACAACAATAAACATAAAAGGAGCATCGTGGATTATTGCATGGAAGTTAGTTACACAGGTTATGTTCATCATCATATTTTGCACTTTTGTTTGTGTGGATTCTCATTCATTCAGGTCCAAGAATTAGGAACAAGTACACCCATACATCTTATAAATCATAGGCCTAATTGCTCATTAAATATCCAACACTCACCTGCCTCCAGGTTGTTGTCAAGCTGCCAGGTGATGGATGACTAAAGATGGAGGAATCCCAAGCCTGCGTTGTAAACACCTGATAAGTGATGCTGTAAACGCTGTCCTCTGTGTGGAGACGCTCAGACCACTGTGGCCACCTTCTTCTGCCACTTCCTTCTTCTGGTTCTCTGCATTTTCTTCTCATAGTCGCCTGATTCTGAGCCACTTTGCTGCATTTCTCGTCTTCTTTTTACAGAGAACAGCCTTGTTCTGCTGGTATTCTCACAGTTTTGAGGTTATTGTGTTGTGAAGTATTCATTGATGCTGAGAGTCTCGTACTAAGTGTTTGGGTTGCATTAGTACATTTTGGATTTGAGAAAATTCAGTGCTAAGTTTACTTATTATTATTGATTGTAATCAGTTGTGGACAACAGGTTTTTTTTAATAGAATCTATGATCTAATCAAACTGTAATCTGAGGACTCCAAGGTAACTATTAAAAGCTGAAATGTTCATATTATTTAATGTGAGTCACCAGTTATTGTGTTCAACAGCCGAGAGACACGTACAATGAGGTCTGCTTTATGTCGTGTACAGTTTTTAAATGAGAGAAACGGAGCAAAGGATTTGGATTAGACAGATAACCCGCGATGAGGAATCTGTTGTGATGTGTTGATAGCAGAGAACAAAAACAAAACTAGTGGCATATTTGACCTGAAGCAGTTTACTGTCCAGGAGATAGTTGGAAATGAGTCTGACCTGAGATAAACCTGGATTTGGTTGCCAATACGATACAAAACAAAATGTGATGAACCCTAATGCTGTGACAGAAAAGTCTACAAGTACGTGTTTGTAAAGACAAAATGAAGACTTCCTACAATCCCTGGACGCGTGTCTGCATGATATTTATTTACTTTTACAGTAATATATTTTCCAAAGACATGCAGCTTCACTTTTGAGGGGTTCAGAGTAATAAACAATCTTTTAAATTCTACTATTACTTTTTTTTTTAAAGTTGTTTTTTTCCCCCCTTACCTCACTGGAGAACCATTACAAAACTTATTCTTGTAGAGAAAACAACCAAGAAGGAAGAATGACCAATAAAAAGCAATGCAATCTTTAATTTACAGTTTTATACTTTTTTTTTTTTTTTTTACATATTTTGTTTTTAAATATAAGTGTATGAACATTTGGGGCAAAGCAGGTAAACATTTCTGTTGCTTTGATTCTTCGGACCTCGTCTTTCACACAGCCACATTCGCTTCTCTAAAAGTTATTTAGAAACAGGACATTAGAGGAGAGAGGAGTCAGGATGACTAGCTTCACAAATAGAAAGATAGAAACCTGGAGATAAGAGGGTGAAGCCCGACGGCTCAACACACACACACAAACAAACCACCAACAGCAAAAAATTCTGTCATATAAAAGATGTAAACGGTAAGCACTCAAGTTGTCTCCTGAATGTGTAAAAACCAGCGTGACTATAAATCACAGTAACTCCTGTGGCTTCAATAGAGATGTCCAGAGCTACTCCTCCATCAGCGCCCAGGCCTCTTCAGCCTTCATGTAGTACTGGTTGGCCAGTCGCCCTTTCATGGCCTCCATGGCGGCTTCGGCAGCTTCTGTAAACAGATCGCCTGCAAGGAAGGACGATGGGAGATGTTACAGGCAATTAAAGAAAAATGGTGATATTCTAAATTTATCTTATTGTCAGTGAATCCCATGAAAAGACCAAAACCAGGAAGTATCTAAAACCGCATAAAACCACATCAGAGCTCCATTGTTCTTTAAAAAACTGTATTTAAACCCCCTCAATGAGCCTCACTGCTGCACTGGGCGACTGTTTATTCATTATCATTAACACATACTGTAGTTTATTATAAGTCAATCACATTTATTCTGTTCTCCTGCCATAAATACTCACGCAAGCACCAAATATGTATTAACCTGGAGCTGAAAATAGTCCTCAACAAATCTGTTGTTTTACGATGTTAAAAACTACAGTGATCACCTGTTGGAGGAAATTAATTAACCCTTTAAAAAATTATATTTTCAACATGTTTTAAAAGTTTTTCCAATTGGAGCCAAAAAGTTTGTGATTAAATTAGAACAAGATTTTAGTCTTTTCATGCGACATTGATTTTTAATGTGTATACATATATAGACACCAGGCTTATCCTGCAAATTCTCTTTTAAACAAATTATTTCAGGAACATATCTCATTTAAATATTAAATATTCACACTTGTGCGATCTTAAAAAGACAGAGTGCAGTAACTACACTAGAAGTAAAGTTCAGACAAAAGGCTTGTAGGTGAAGCTGTGTAAAAGCTAACACGGACTCGGACCTGCTCTCTGAGGGTCTGCCTTCAGGTTGTGGCCTCCCTCCTGGAACATCTCCGCCTCTCTGGCCAGCAGCAGATAGCGAGGCTCGTCCTGCGTACCGTCAAACTCTCCTCCTTCATCATAGTCCGTCATGTTCAAGGCGCTGTCGTACCAGTGAACCGCTTCCTCCCAGTCCTGCTTTCTGTGGAAATGAAAGATAAAGATTGACAGACTGTCACAAACTCTCAACCTCAATGTCCTACAGACTCCTCTACAGGCCACCAGGGGGCAGTATCACCACAAGTTATCATCACTACTGGACCGGGACGAATCTTTTTATTTAAACAGGTTTTTAAATGAGCCTTCACTGACCTTTCAGCGGACAGATTGATTCCAGTATCGAAGGCTTTGGCCACTATGATCATAGAAGATCTGTCACCAGCCTCAGCAGCCAGCAGCAGATACTTGAAGCCCTTCATCCTGTTTCCTGCGTTATCCTGCCAACAACACAAACACGTCAAGAAGCCCGCCCTAAAGTCAAACCAGCTGAACAGCACGAGGTAAGACGAGCGTTGGAATGCTACCTCCAGCTCTATATCTGGCAGGATGTGATGAGGCAGCTGCAGGCAGCACTGTCCCAGAGCCACGATGGCCTCCAGCTCTCCGCACAGAGCAGCTCTCTCCAGGTGGAACATGGCCGAGTCCTGATCCCACTGCTCGTCCTTCTCGCAGAAGCGCCCCGCTTCGTGGTACCGCACCATTGCCAGGTGGACCTACGACAGGGACACAGGCTGAGCTGATTCTATTCAGAATTTACTGAAGGTGTCGTGACTGATCAGACCAAGTTGGACTGATGTTGTTCTGGTGTGAAGAGTTTCTGTCGTCTTCTCTTCATTAGATCACTTTGGTTTTTATGGCTGGAATAAGGACTCACAGGGAAAAAACTAGGGATGCACAATATATCAGCGACCACATCGGTATTGGTCGATATTAGTGCTTTTTCCCATATATTGGTATCAGTAAGACTATGAGGTCTAATTTGGGCTTCTGTTAAATAGTTTTCATGTCCTCACAGAGCTTACTTATACTCATTTTTCGGTGTGAACAAAAATGTAATATCGGTTATCGGCGATATCAGAAATCTTAATATCTGATATCTGTATCTGCCAGAATTTTAATACCGTTCATTACTAGAAAAAAAATATCAGAAAATGTCAAGACAGAACCAGGTTTTAATGCTGGAGCTCAACTAAAGGTCGTTTGGTTTTGATTCACCATCTCCCCAAGATTCCATATTTTCTTTATTTCTTTGACTTTTCTCTAAAACTGTTGTGTAAAAGTTTTTACTTGAACATACAACGAATTAGCTGCACAACTTTACTGACATGCAATTCACCAGCTCCATTTTACACACACATGCACAGACATGTACTCATAAAACCAGGTGTGGTTGTGTGTTGACAGAAGCTTGTAGTTCTCAAGACCAAGCTTTAGTATTTCCACTAGTTCACGTTGTAACAGTTACATAATGATGTGAGCATCCTGACAACAGAGAGGCTACTTAAGGCTGGAAAAAATTAAATTAATGGCAAATGGTAGTAAAACAGCAGAAGCATAACCCTTCCCTTTGTTGGAGTTAAATGGACATTTCAAAGGCAGTTTGATTGACACTGAACTTCAAGTCCGGTTAGTCTGACAACCTCTGAGCTCGCTGGTTACAACAGTGCTCTACAAATATTAGTACACTGCACTTACTGATTACAGTTAGTATGTGCAGCGTGTTCGTTGGTTGAAATAAACATTACGTGCAGCGTGTTTTTGTTTTTCTAGCTTTCAGTAATCTTAAATCACTACTTTAGTCAGAGTTGTTTGTGGTTTCATTTCCTTGCAAGAAGTGGTGACGGATCCGCCTTTGTATTTGTTTTAAGATAATGTAAAATAAACTTTATTGATCCCTCATTGAGGAAATTCACATGTTACAGCAGCTGGATGCAGATAAGGCAAAAAAAACAGCAGGACAAGAACAACAAAAGTGCAAGAAGGCAAAAAAAAAAAAAAAAGCAGGACAAGAACTACAAAAGTACAATAAGGCTAAAACATAAAGATAGAACTAGTACATATATGACATGGTGAGTTTACTTGTGGAGGATTTTTTATGCTTGACATGTCCAGGATACTTTAGCAAAACAGATTTTAAACACTGAATAAATAAATAAGCTGGAATGACTGTCTTGTAGTATCTCATTACAGGGAAGCTTATATACATCTCTGCATCTTTTCCTGAGCTATGGAGTGGACCACTGGACAGAAAAGCAGAATATTCTGATGTCACAACGAAGGCGACCGTTAACCTTTTGAATATTAAATGCCATTACTTCGTCATAATTAATGAGTGAATTCTTGAATTATCCCCAAAAATGTGTTTTTTTTTTGTGAGATCACAGACGTTTGATCACCAACATTTCAATCTGTCTTCAGTTTTACCACATGTTTAATTTAATTTATGTTAAATTAACCAACCTCATGTCTAATTTCATCTCTCACCTTTCCGAGGATCGACTGCCCGATCTTCTTCTGCAGCAGAGTGTTGAGTCGCTCCACCTCGGTGGCCACGCAGGAGGGCCGGTGGACGTGAGCGCGAGACGAATGGTAGAAGCTCCACTTCTCCTCCGTCAGCTGGAGAAAGAAAGATACAGGAAGATAAAAGAAAACAGGGAAATGTTATCAGTTGTTAAGCATGGAGCAGAAAACTAATTATGGCTAGAAAAGACACCACACTGCACTGCCAGGGGTGCACCCCTCCAGAAAAACGATTTTAACTGATGAATGACACAGACAAGCTTTAAGGTTAGAGCTGGAGGAGTACACTCATGAACGCAACAGCAGCACACACACACACAGTTACGATGGTGAGAGTCATTAGCCAGATGTAGAAATGGAGGTAGATGGTGTTTCAGTTCCAAATATCACTTTCATTTCTTTGTTTTTGATTGTTTTCATTCGCTGACAGAAAACAGCCAGTTTACCTAATTGCACAAATCGTAACTTTAACAACATGCCTGAAGCGTTTTCCTGCAAAAAACAAAGCTTTGCAGCCAAAAGCCTGCACAGGAAAAACACCTGACATCCGTGCAAATAATCACCCATTCGTTGTCAGGATTGTATGAATCTGAGTTTGCGGAGACTCTTGGAGGAGGAGCTACCATCTTCCTCTAGTGAGGGGAAACAAAGAGCGGGAGGAGTTAGAGGAAAGACGAGGAAGAGCTTTTATTGGTAAAAGGGAGGAAAAAAGGGAAAGTGATGGAAGACACAGACGAGGAGAAATTAGAGGAGGAGGGTTATTTGACTACGACGATGATGACTGTGATCATGAGGTGAGGATGGTATTTACACACTGTTATGTTTGTTTACCCGTCTGACACTGTCCTCATCCGACTCGGAATAATGTCTGTGGTAGCGGTGATGGGCCTACGTGACGATACAACATGCATCATGAAACCTGCTGTCAGGAGATCTAACAGTCAAACTGAAATGTGCAGAACAGATAAACTGAGACGACAATGGAGAGTGAAAATGTCAACATGTTGGTGTTGTGCCAGAGTACGTTTACAAATGTGCCTAAAGTTACAAAAAAAAATGAACAGATTAACTAATCAAAAGTGTATTTCTGCATCTAAAAGTAATTTAAAGTCTTGACAACACAACACATGTCTGTTGGACACTAATGCCTCGGTCCATTTCTGACTGTTGGTTGATAAAACTAAATCAAAGGAAAGTGAAATAGGTAAAAATCTGCCACATTTTTTATGACATTTTGACTGATTTGTCCTTTATAATGTCTTCTTCTTATTGCACAGCCTTAAGATCTCCGTATCTCGCTGCACAAACTGTATGAGCATGTGGCAAAAAAAAAAACTATCTAGAATCTTGAAATAGAAGTCTTTACCCCGTCCACGTGGTCATTTGGATCCCCTTCGCTCCTCCTCTCGCTGGGGTAGCCGCTGTCTCCGCCGCTATCCGGGTCCTACAGACAGAAATAAAAAATGCAAGTTGTGTAGGCGACTTAAAAACAAGATCTCAGCGTCCTGTTTTAAATATCTCGGCAATATGTTTGTTGACTTTGGCCTCACAGCGTCGCAGCTGTTACCGACTAAATCTGGGGATGTTTTTTCAGGTGGAAGGCTGAAACGGACTTGGAGGTGTAAAATTACTTGAAGAGCCGCAGTGAAGCTTTTATTATGATCTAGCAGGTGAGGTAAAGCAAATATAAAAGAACACAAAAAAGGTTGATTAGTGTAGATGGCGAGATTTAAATTTATTTCGGTTTTAACAACATGCGTGACATAGTGTATGTTGGATACAGTATGTTGTATGTAGTCGTGTCCCAACAAGTTGTGTTCAACTGTTTTCTCGATTAACTGATACAGCCTGGTCTATAAAATGTCAGAAAATGGTGAAAAATGCTTCCCAAAGTCCTCAAATGTCTTGTTTTGTCCACAACTCAAAGATATTCTGTCACAGAGGAGTAAATAAACCAGAAAATATTCAGATTAAAGAGGGTGGAATCGCAGAAATTTGCCTTTTTTTCTGGCACAGTTACTCAAAGCTAGCGAGTTTTTCATTCGATAACTTTATCCGTATATTTTTGTGGTTGCAGTTCATGTCTTTGTGCCGTTTGGAGCCTCTTACGCCGAGTTGCTGCTCACCTTGTGTTCACCTGTGTTGTTGTTGTTGTTGTGGAGTCTTTCGTGTTCGCTCATCCCAGCAAAAGACAAACCTGTAAAATGAAAACAGAAAACTGTTCACAGACGGCAGCTCCTCAGCTTGGATCCTGCTGTGCTTCACGACATCAGTAGACTGTTCTTTATACCTGTGGGTGACTTGCCCATAGATGCGACTGCAGCTAGCGGGGAGCAGGGCAGGATGAGAGGGGAGCAGGGGGCCGAGTCCACGTCGCTCATGCTCTCATCCGCAGAGGACGTCTCGGACAGGCGGGACAACAGCGGAGGCGCCCGGCTTGCCGAGAAGGTGCGAACACGAGGAGAGCCGCAGGGTTCCTCGGAGCCCCTCAGCACCGTCTGGGCCGACTTCTGAAATAAAACGAGGTGAAACTCAGCAGAGGTAGACGGCAGAACAAACGAAATACATTTAGGATGAGAGTGAGAACAGGGAAGGTTGTTCTCTCAGGCGTATTTAACTTTAAAATCAGAATGTGGCAGATTTGAGACTTCCTTTTCTCTCTACTTAATTCTTAGGGACACTTCCCCTGTTGAACTATTATCATGTACAGGTTGCTGAGTTGAGACACGTGTTCAAATTACAAGCAGTTTGTTGGTGCAGTCCAGCTGGGACTTCTCTGGCGACGAAAGGTCGAACGGCGTCAGACCCATGCTCTTGCAGATCTTGTTACACAGGTGGGAGTGGAAGAACAGCGCCATCCCTCTCACACCTGGAACACAGGTGCGATCAGGATGGAGTTTCTGGAACACGTTTTACTTCAACATACGCGGCAGCTGTTTGTCAAAAGGGAGGCGTACCTAGATTCCCGTCTCCAAAGTCGTCCCCCTTCTCCGTGTGGATCTGGGGGTCGGTGTAGAGGTCTCCGACTCCCTGGATGTCCACCACGATCAGCTGGTGGCCCGACCGCTCGAAGGAGAAGTGACTGAAGGCCTGGTGGACAGCAGAGGAACGTTATACCCGACAGTTGGCTGAGCGAGCGTAAAAACCGAAAGGCGACGTCGTTCACCTGAGGAGTGAGTCGGATGTTGTCGTCCCTCACGAAGCCGGAGTTGGAGTTGTATTTGATGTACTGTCCCTCGATGTAATGCTCCAGGTGGAAGAGAGGTTTGCCCGGCCGCTCTGTCATCTCCATCACACACATCTGCATTATGTCCACCTGAGGATTAAATGCATCGAGGATTAGAGAGAGATAAACAGAAGTTTCTCACTCACAGGTTTGCAGAACAGGGAAGAGATTTAATGAGTCCATGTGCTAAAGGAATGAAGGGAAAGAAAAAGGTGCAAACAAATTATTAGAATTAATGTAAATATTAAAAATGTACATAATTGCAATTTTAAAATCTTGCACATATTTGAGTGCAACTTTCCAGATACTGAGGAAATAATTCAACGTCATCGTTTGTGAATCTCCAAATATGATGCAGTAAATTCAACATGACACCTGAAACAAACTTATCTGTGTATAAAAACAGTTGATTTGGCTTTATGTGTTGATGCAGAACTGCTTAAAAAAAACACAAAAAAATAATCACGCTACCTCCACCAAAAACACTGTTTTTAATTCTGGTTGTTTTGTCCGTTGCAAGACATGTGAGAAACCAGCTGATCTGACTTAATCTTGAAATTGATTGATTGGAAAAATAAGGTCAGGACGCCAAGGAAATCGGATTTTGGTGCAGATCTCTCTGCAGGTGTGGTTCCAGGAATGTCTCCAGAAGTGTTGCACTCAGAATAGAAACTATCAATCACGTGTGGCTCACGATTTTCTAATATGAAGAACATTTGATGCAAATTCAAATCTTTAAGCGGATTATAGATGCAGAAATGATGAGTATCTGTTAGACGACAGACTAAAAAGTGTTCAGGAACTATTTAGATATGAAGATATAGATGAGAAAAGTTATCAAATTCTTTGTCTTACTTACAGAATAGTAACTTTGAGCTGCACAAAGTCTTGATTTCTTACAATTGTCGTTATTTCATGTCTCAAATGATTCACTAAATTAATCAAAATAATAATCGTCCATCCATTCATCATCTCTACACCTTAATCCTCACCAGGGTCATGGGGGGCTGGAGTCTATCCCAGCTGACTCAGGGTGAAGGCAGGTTCACCTGGACAGGTAACCAGTCTATCACAGGGCTACACTTAGAGACAGACAACCAAGCACACTCACATTCACACCTACGGACAATTTAGAATCACCAATTAACCTCAGCATGTTTCTGGACTGTGGGAGGAAGCCGTAGAACCCGGAGAGAACCCACGCTGCACGGGGAGAACAGAAAGATCCCAGGTGTCCTCACCAGGATGCGAACCAGCGACCTTCTAGCTGTGAGGCGACGGTGCTAATAATAATTGTTCCTTGCTCAAGTAAGGATTAGACGAGTGTGTTTCTGAGGGACCACTGCTGATTTTGTCCACGTTGCGCTCCTGTACCTGTTTGGGAGGTTTGTGGCGGTTGTACTCCTCGCCCCAGAGCTTGGCCTCCATCTGCAGCCGGACGTCCTCAAAGTAAACGTTTCTGTCCACCGTCTCCATGTAGCGCTTGGACACGTAGTTGGACGCCGACTTCCAGTTGCTGCTGTGTGAGAAATTTGACAACTTCTTCCTGGAGGGAACCAAAATGAAAAGAGGGTATTAGACCAACATTTCAATTACATTTATTTACAGTGCATGACCGTAATAGTTTTTAATAGCTAAAGAAACAAGCCTGCAGCTAGAAACCCTTATTAAAATACATAACTGAAGCCGTTTTTAATCACAGCATCGGCTCCAAAGTGACCCCGGGTCACGCAAGAAAAGCTGCCTTAAACCCACTCAAGTACAAATAAAACAGAGAAAACATATCATGGTACAGAACTTTCTGTTTTTAGGACTGTACTTGTTTGGGCTCGTCGGGGTCGTGACATTTATGTTGTCTGACTGGATTTTTTTCTGTGGGATACTACAAGTGACAAACAGCAGAAGTGGGAGCAGAGCAGTATTGATGGATGCCCCTCTTGTACACTTCCCACATCACTGGGGATTAAACATTAACAAATACGCTGTTATCTCGCTCATCCCCATTCATTCTGCGCTGTCATGCAGAAGCAGCAGCAGCAGCACAGGGTTCGCACCAAACGGTCAAACTTGATTTAACCCAAACAGTAAACGTCCAGGGAATCACTACTATGAGAGACGAGTTAAAAATAAAGCCCATGTGCCATCATGGGAAACATCACGGAGGAAGAAACGTCAGGAATGTGACGAACTCCTCTGCTTTGTTTACGCTGAGACAAGACGAGGGCAACAACCGCTCGACGAGAAGTGATGAAAGTGGAGAAATATCTCGACTTACGTTCTGAAGCACTCCCTCATGGCCCCTTTCCCAAACGGCTGTGAGAAACCAGACAGGATGAAATAAATTAGACAAGAGGAAAGGTACAGCGAGACTCTACAGAGCAGTTTTATAGAGAGAGGTGCTACCTGTGCAGCCATCTTGATGTGGACCTGGTCCTGGGCCCACTCTCCTGTGACGGCATTGTACCTGTGAAGGT